TTGTTATGAAACACAACTTCAGTATCTACAGCTCACCAGAGCACAACCTCTACAATTTGATGCAGGACTGTCTGTATCAAGTAAAGACATCAGGATTAATAAATCCCTGTACCGATGTGTTATGCAAGTGCATTATCACAATGAGGTATTTGAGGTAATGAATTAATCTAATGGGATGTATGGGACAAGCCAGCATTCTTTGTCCCAGCATAATGCATCATATTATAATAGGATTGTTTTTGTTTTGCAAACATGGAAGTTGGCCAGTTGGAAGGTAATTGTGGGTGGAAATGCTGATAAGACATCAGTAATTTCCTATTAATTATGAATAGTTTGAATTGCCTACCACAGTAGAGTGGGCATAGCTCTGCTTTGGCAGCGAAACAGGCTAGGCTCTGACATTGTTTCTAGGATGATTGCAAGCAAATCATAATAATGAGTTAAAATGAATGCTATACTTGTGAAACTTGCCAGCCTGCCAGTCCTAGAGTTTGACTTCCTCTCTTCACGCTGCTGGTCTTGCACTGACAGTCCCAATGGAACCGTCTTATTTGTCCCCTCCAACCAGTGCGATCGGACTCCATCCAAAGGCACCACAAGCAGGGAGGTGATCATTGAGGTCTTGGTCTCTTTGCTGAGACTGAAAGCAAGAGTGAACATTTACACATTATAAAACTACTGTTGTGATTGGTCACTGGGAAATTATACTGATTTCACCAATTCATTTCAGGTAGGATTTGATCCAAAGCCCATTGTAGTCAATGAGGACCTTTCCATTGACTTTAACAGACTTTGGAGCTGTCCCATGGTGACCAAGATGTCATCAGAGGGTAATTAATTTTATTCACTATTGATCTTAACTAGATTCAAATAGACAAGTAGAATCAGAATGTTTTAGAATCCTGTTATCAATCCCCTAACAACATATCTGTAATAACAAACCTCCTTTACACTGTTTTGCCTGACTTACATATTAAAAATGAACGATTGGTGTTTTTATTACTTTCTCCTTCTAACAAAGGCCAGGTAGAAAGGTGTTTCCTGTGTGCTAAACATATGCAGATGTTTGTTCATGCCTTTGTGAACTTCCTTTGGTGTTTCCCGGTTTTCCTACTCAGGTTACAAAGTCTAAACATAAATTTAAAGAGTGAGTGCAAAAGCAGTTTGTTTGTGGATATTGTCCACAGATTTTGAGACATAAGTCTCTTTCTCTCTCTCACACACACAAAAATATCTCAACTGACAGCTACATTAAAATAACTCTATTAAGACTGCAAAGTGAAGTATTCAAAATGTAGGAAATGGCACAGGGTACCGGTCAAAAAGCTCCCTCTTTCTTGCTGCATGGACACCAGCATGGGGACACTAAGGCTGTGTCCAAACTCGAGGTTTTTTCCGAAAAAAGTAGCCTTTTTTTCGAAAAAACTTCCCCTGCGTCTAGACTACAGCCGCATTCTTTCAAAATAAAATCGAAAGAACGCGGTTTTTCTTTCGACGGCGGAAAACTTCATTTCATGAGGAAGAATGACTTTTTTCGAAAGTGCTCTTTCGAAAAAAGGCGTTCTTGAATGCAAACAGGACTTCTTCGAAAGAGAGCATCCAGACTGCCTGGGTGCTCTCTTTTGAAAAAGCGTCTTGCTTTTTCAAAAGTACTGCTTGCAGTCTAGACGCTCTTTTTCAAAAGAGGCTTTTTTGAAAGTATCTTTCGAAAAAGACTCTTTCGAAAGAGCCTTGCAGTCTGGACGTAGCCTAAGGGTGTATCTAGACTACATGCCTCCGTCGATGGAGGCATGTACGTTAGACAGATAGGCAAAGGGAAATGAAGCCGCGATTTAAATAATCGCGGCTTCATTTAAATTTACATGGCTGCCGCGCTGAGCCTACATTCAGAAATTTGGCAGAGGATGGCCTTTTCCCAACCCTATGAAAATCCACCCATACATGGCCAAGTCACAAGCCTCAGGGAATGGGAGACAGTGGAAACAGTTCACATATGTTCAATAAAGGATAGCTAGAGTTTTGCAGCTATCTGCACCAAGTAGATACCTAAGCCAGAGCTAAGCCGGAAATTATCAGCCATTAGCGCTGTAGACTGCTGCAAGTTGGGGCAATGCACCAGAATTAAAACAAGAATTTTGTTTCCTGTGCTCTTAGGGTATGTCTAAACTACATGCCTCCATCGATGGAGGCATGTAGTTTAGACATACCCTAAGAGCACAGGAAACAAAATTCTTGTTTTAATTCTGGTGCATTGCCCCAACTTGCAGCAGTCTACAGCGCTAATGGCTGATAATTTCCGGCTTAGCTCTGGCTTAGGTATCTACTTGGTGCAGATAGCTGCAAAACTCTAGCTATCCTTTATTGAACATATGTGAACTGTTTCCACTGTCTCCCATTCCCTGAGGCTTGTGACTTGGCCATGTATGGGTGGATTTTCATAGGGTTGGGAAAAGGCCATCCTCTGCCAAATTTCTGAATGTAGGGGCATTGGAGCTTCCCAAAGAAAAGGTCACTGGAATTTTTTTAAAAGGGCGGAAACTATTTATTTTCCCCTACTTACGTTGGATCTAATAAATATTAGTTATTGTGTAGCATGACGGCAGATTATATGAATGGTGATAAATGCAAGGGAACGCATGTTAGGAAAACCTTTTTCCAGAAACACGGATTATCAATTAGCTAGAACTCTTTTAAGGAAAAGTTGGAATAGTAATGTCCAGATTGTGCACCACAATCTATATAATGATTATGGTGCTCGAGTGAGCAAAAGGAACAACACAAAAATATTATGGCATTTTTTGAATATATGATATGTCCTTACTCAATTGAATGTTATTTTTTTGGGTCCACATCTCAGAACATAGCTGAAAAGGGGAATATCTAGAGAGGAGAACCAGAAAAGGCTCGCGAATTACCCACGAGAAGAGTTTTAACATGCATAAATAAATAAGATGGATTCTAATATTTTGGTAGAAGAAGAATCAGAAAGGATAGAATCTTATGTATATTTGAGAGTGAGTGTCTGTCGGTCTGTGCATCTGTTCAGTAACTCCTCAAAGTGGTAAAAGCGAAAACCACCGAATTTGGCATGCAGTTCCTCTAATCGTAACTTAAAGGTCAGTTTATTTAGTTGTGCCAGGACAATGGAATGTGCATGGAAACTGCTTGTTTTTCATCAAATTGAAAGAGAAGACTCTGATAGCAGGGACAGTTATACTCCACAATGACCATAGGGGTGTATCAAGCACTCCAGTCCCAGGGAGCAGCTGCCAGCTGGCCAGCGCAGCCCGTCATCCCAGGTCATCCTTTGGGACCAGCTTCTGGCTGGCCCCAGGAAGCAGCCGCCAGCCACTCTTGCCCCCATCCTCTGTCCTGAGCCCCCCCATTCCCTACTCTGACTCCTGCATCCCCCCACTCCGTCCCTGAGCCCTTCACAACTCCCAACCCCCTGCCATGGCTCCTGCATTGCCTACCCCTTGCCCTGCCTCCTGCACCCTCCACACTCCCAGCCCTCTCCCCTGAAAGACCTGAGAAACACCAGATAAATCTTCCAGTACATTATAAAATAACAAATGTCACAATAGATGCCATGTCCCTTATTGCATCATGAAATTGAAAGGCAACATGTTTATATAGATAATCTGTGTATAGACGTATATCAATAAGGAGATGAAAGAAGTAAATATTATAATATTAAGACAAGTATTAATGAATGCCCATTATTTAAAACAATGACAAGGATGTCAATCTTCATGCTACAGAGAATAAGCTGATAGCCTATTGTAGTCTGCCCTACTGATCATGCATTATGTTTGCATAAGTACAGGTTGAACCTCTGTAAGTAGGGACTCTCTGTTCTGGAAACATCCATGGTCTGGTGAAGGGCTGGTGCCTAGGGGTGCTGCAGATTGGCAGGGCTGCGGGCTATTGGCAGAAAGCTGCCAGCGGGGCCAGTATCCTAGATCCCTGCAGTTGGGCAGCCATGTTTCCTAATAAATTTGGTGAGGAATTCAGCTTGACCTTTTAGGTATATGTATGTGAATTGAGCACCAGAGAGAGATGGGATTGATAGGAGTTTTGCCACAAATGTTGGAAGTACTCTTTGACTTAGTGAGGGGCAATTCAGGTGCTAAATTACAGTGAATATGCAGTATTGTTGTGATTGTGTTGGTCCCAGGATATTAGAGAGACAAGAGGGCTAAGGTAATATATTTTATTGGACCAACTTCTGTTGGTGAGGGAGACAAGTTTTACAGTGAATAGGCAGGAAAGAAGATGAAACACAGGTAGGACCTATGAGGGAGACAGCTTAATCATGTCATGACATCTAATATTTCAGAAGATCTTGTAATATCTGTGACAACACAGTGATGGATTACAAACAAAGGCATGCAAAACTAATTTGTATTAAGCCAATGAAAATGACTTGAACAGCAATTGCTATTTCAAAGAGGTTTCCAAGTCAACACCCTGAGCTAGCAGCCAAGAAAAGATGAAGCAGATCATTAATATCAAGTGTGACAATGTCTATGTTCCTTAGCCCAGTGTCCTGCTCCCAGGGTGAAGTAACTGCTTATTATCTGTTTCAAACACTACTGCAGGGTGAACAATCTAAGTAAATTATTATTTCTTGGGCTTTGTATGAGTCTCTTGATCATTACCATGTGGCTTCAACTGGATGTGCAACAGAGAATCCAGTTGATTAAGTAATTCCAAATTGCAGATGGGCCCCTTTAAAAGTCTGATCTCACATACTTATTCATTAACTTACGTCCCCCCCCCCCCCCACCCAAAAAAAGAAAAAGAAAAGACATTTAAGAAACTACTGACATTGGAACCTGGCTAATGCCTTGGGCATCAATTGTTATATTAATAGAACAGGTACGCAGGTAGCTGTTGTTAGGGCTAGAAAAATAGATATTGTGATAATGCCCATTATTTACAAACATTATTTTATTAAGAAAAGTATTGATGGATGTCTTGTCTGTTTTTTTCCTCAGCGCCTTGCAACAGAAGCAGAGATATTTCAAGCATCACATCAGTGGAGAGATGAGTTTGGGGTAAGTTTTCACCTTTCCCTTCATCAGTCTTTTCAAATATTTCCCGCTTTACAGTTGCCACTCTCTTTTTTTCAACTTTAACATCTCAACATAAGTGTTTTAGCAGGGACCTCATCCTCTAAAAGCATGGATTTGGCCTGGTAGAAAGAATCAGTGTGTTAGATGTATTAATTTGCTTTGAAGTATTAAATCAGTTTCTGTAAGTCAGTGAAATGTCCTGAGCCCACCCTGAAAATGGCATGGGTAGGGAAGGTTGCAAAAAGGAAAGAACATTTGCTCCAAACTTATGGCTAATGCTATATTTAGATTCACTCACCAATCACAAAACTGTGCTCCTGATCCCTTGAACCAATTATCAAAAAGCTAGAAAAAAGAAATTGCATAGTCCCCCTTTACTGCATTCCATGTTCTGGCTCCCAGTCAGAGAACAGGTTCCGTAAAGTGAGAAGTTACTTAAAACTCAATTCAGTATTGTAACCAATTGTGGTCTCAATGCAAAGGGTGGTCAGGGTGGGAGAGTCCCAAAGCTCTTGTAGGTGGGAGTTGTGGTATTGCCACCCTCATTTCTGCCCTGCTTCTGGCAGGTAGAACTGCCTTCAGAGCTGGCTAGTCAAGCGCTGTCTACACCACAGAGATTTTTTGGAAAAATGGCTGTTTTTTTTTTTTTTTTTTTAAAGCTTCACTTACGTCCACACTGCAATCATGTCCTTTTGAAAGAACAGAGGAGATTTTCCGACATTGGTAAACCTTTTTCTGCGAGGAAGAAGCCTTTTTTCTGAAAGAGCTCATCAGAAAAAGGCGTGTGTGGATGGGGAAAAGGGAGTTCTTTTGGAAGAAATACGAGATAGTGTCCATTCAGTGTGGATGCTCTCTTTTGGAAGAAGTTTTTCCAGAAGATCTCCTCTGGAAAAGCTTCTTCCAAAAGAAGCCTGCAGGATAGATGTAGCCTCTGGGAGGAAGGTTGCTGGTAGGGAGTCCAGCTCTAATGCCAGTGCTACAGCAGCAGTTGGAGCTGAAGCCTCTCCACATTGGGGGTGGGAGGAGTGACATCTGGCACTGGGGAGCTTCCTGCAAGCAAGGGAAATCCTGGAGGTGGGTCTAACCCACCCCAAGAGCACCCCTGCAGGAGAAGAGGAAATACCATCCTTCCCCATCCCCAGCTGGGACTAGCAACTGGAGCCTGCCCTGGGCTGTGCCAGACTTCAATAGGGAGATCAGATTTCACAGTCCATGACTCATTTTTCATGGTCATGAATTTGCTAGGGCCTAGAACCCCATTGATTTCAGTCACTTTCAGTCAGGAACTTAACCTCTGTGCCAAGCTGTTGAACAAGAATGTGATATCTCTTTGCTTTATTCATCATAAATTCAGAATTTTGATGTTTTGGACATTTTCCAACTATGCCTCTTCCCAATCAGCTCATTCATGTCATGTGGTGGCAGTTATGTCCCATTATGCTACTCTAAAGAGTAGCGTTCCCCAGGTGCATTCATGGACTGTTTGCGTCTAGTCTGAAAACAATTGAATGCACAAACCTTCTAGTGACTTCAGGATGCCCCCAGGATACACCAGGTGAGGGGATCTCTGAGGCTGATTGATAGCTACTAGCTATAGAAGTTGATTTCTTCTTCACCTAAAAAATACTAGCTGATGGGGCAGATAATTTCCAGCAAAGACACTTCTAATGATCTTTCCTCCCACATCATCCTAACCAGTTGGATTTTTTATTCCTACACAACCCTTTGCCAATTGGTAAGGCGCCAATACTGTGTGTATACATCTACTAGCAAGATAAACCCACACAATTAAAAACATGACCCCCCATTTGATGGAGCCATCATTCTTTCATTCTTTAAACCAGTGTTCCATGTACATGTTGATACAAAGAGGTTAAAAAAGAAATTAGGACCAGGCCAAATTTAGATCCTGGATCTGTAATGGGCAACCCGTCTGCAGTGCTGGTGGCCTCAGTGCACAAGGGTGTGGGTAATTTTAGGTACTATGTTTGATCATGCACCATTTTACTATTGTGGTATGCACTTGTGCCACCTGGCACTAGGGTCTGCTTTTGCTTTATTTCTTTTATCCTTCACGTTCGGTATAAAAGACACAGATTGGCGTACTCCCTTCAGGGAAGCTTCTGCTCTCATCAGAATTCATCGCCAGGGAGAGATCTCAGAGTAATTTTTGAAATGTAATTTCATATTAATGCACAGCGCAGGCTGTGGCTGGAGTTATAGAGTTAAGGTAATCACAGTCTGTGCATATCTTACAGTCTGAAAGAGTCTGCAGTTGGATTTGTAATAAAGTAGCTGCAAAGAAAGCTTGTGCTTTACTGTTTTGAGTTAGGATGAGAACACTGTGCAGACTATAATAACCTTGACCTTAGGTTATGCAATTAAATTTAGAATAAATGTATTTAAGCTTCATATAATTTAATTTGTTCCATTTTAGCCAGAAGTAATCTTTCTTCTTTTCTGCCCTACTTTTTAGAAAATGTCTGATCAAATTAACTTGCACACAGATCTATTTGATAAACTTTACTTTTCACTGCAAGATTCATTCTCCTAATGACTGTTTTGAGAACAGAAGCGGTATCATAGAAGGTTTTCAGTGGGCTATGCTTCTTGTTGGCTCGTGGTTGCATATTGAATGAACCTGCTTCCCTTGTTTGATGGAGTTTGAGTTTGGGTGATAAATAAAAAGCTCCTTCAGCACAGTATATATGAGTCATAAGAGAAACAAGCTTTTTTGGACACAGTCTATTGCTGATTTTAATTAGCTCACAATCAGCAATGATCTTGACAGCCATATTGCAGTGCAGTGATAGCCTGCAGGTTTTTGGAGAGGGGAAAAAAAAACCAAGTTAAAAAATACAGTATAACATGGGAGGCTCACTCTTACAGAGTGACTCTATGGACTGATTTCAGTGGAAGAAGTTTGGGGGAGAAAGGCTAAAGCTGTGACATATGTAAATTCTGATGTCTGTGTAAAGGTGTAAAAGATGTGTGCCATTAGGAAAGAGTCAGAGCATCTGTTGTAGCAACTTGCTCTGTGTGGAAATTTTTGTGCACATTTACACAATAAAAGTGTGTAAAATATACTAAGGTGGGAGCAAGAAAGTTTTTTTTTAATAGAGCTGTTGATTAATCACAGTTAACTCAGAAAATTATCTCAAAAATTAACCGTGATTCAAAATAGTGATGAATTGCCATTTTTAATCACAGTTATACAATAGAATAACAATTGAAATGTATTCAATGTTTGTGTATGGTTTTTTTATCTACATTTTCAAATTAGGGATGTTAGCTTGTAGTTATTTACATGATTATCCTATAAGTCTTATTGGTTAATCCTAATGACTTAGCACACCCCCCTCCTCCCTGCAGCAAGTGGGGAGTGGGAGGGTGGAGCTGGGTTCTAAGCTAGCTCACAGCATGTACCAGTTTCTGGAGAGATACCTGCCCCCTCAGCTCCCTGTTACTTCCTACTGATGCAGCAGCATGGGGGTGGCGGCAGCGGGGAGTGGAGGTGAGGCAGGAGCCAGTGCTGGGGGGAGCCAGCTTAATGAATGAGAGGCATCAGCACAGGGTATGAGAGGTACAGGCAGGAGCCGGTACATGCAGGAAGCCGGCTTTCAAGCTGGCTCCCTCTGCATACTGGCTTGGCTCCCGCAGAGCTTCCTTCACCCCCTGTACTGCTGCCTCTGTATCAGAGCCAGCAGAGTGTGTGTGTGTGTGGGTGACAGGCGGAAGCCAATACGCCCACTTTTAAGCCAGCTCTGTGGAGTCGCCTGTCCCCCCCTTGCTGCTTCCCACTGAGGCAGCTGTGTGGAGGCAGGACATGCAGGAGCTGGTGCTCAGGGGGCAGTTGGCTTAAAAGTCAGCTCCCCAGGAGCCCCGGCTCCTGTGAAGCCACCTGCCCCCCACTCTACTGCCTCTGATAGAGAGACTGCAGCATGCAGGGGAGGGAAGGAAGGTGGGAGATGGTACACACAGGAAACCCGCTTTCAACCTGGCTCCTCGCACATATTGGCTCCTGCCAAGCTGCCCTCTCCATCTCCCCCTGTCCACCTCGCTGCTGCCTCCCAGCACGCGGCTGCCCTCTGGGACCTGGAGCCTTAGTGCAGCATGCACAGCTGCTCTACAGGACCCGGAGCGCTAGTGTGGCACGCATAGCTGCCCTACGGGACCCAGAGCCATGGCAGCAATGGCTGGCCAATGGGATCAGCAGGGCAGGGCAGAGAGACCAACAGGAGGTGGGGAGTATCGACTCCCATGGGGCTGCCTGCACCCTGTGCAGTTGCCTCTTTATTAAAGGCAGTGGGGGAGACTTAAACGTCGGCTCCCTGTGAGGACAACTCCTGCCTCCCCCAACTATCCTGAATGTAAATGTGTAACCACTAAAAAAATCCAGCAGCTACACATTTACACAAACACACGTTAGGGATATCAACTATCTCAAATGTATTTTACCGTGAAAGCTTTTGCTATCCAGCACTTTAACTGGAAAACTTTAACCAGCATTGTGGCACTTCAAGATGATGTCATCAACAGGTGCCTCCTTCTCCCTCAGCCTGCCTTGAGCTGCCTAACGCTTTGCTTAAGCATGCAGCACATTCAATTAACTGGCAACCAGTATTCCCAGTAAGTGCTGAATAATAAAGCTTTCACTGTATTTCAGTTCCCACACAAAGCTAAACACAGAGCAAGACCCAAAGCATGCTCACTTTATATCATGTTTGATTAAAATATTTGTACAGTTTGAACCTCCCTGGGCCAGCACCATTAGGACCTGACTGGTTCCAGATGAGGGATTTTGCTGGACCAAGGGAAGCCATTTCCATACCCTTGCCACTGTCCCACCTGGCCCCAGCTAGCTCCCCGCCTCCTGCTGGTCCCATTGCCCTGCTGACCCCATTGGGAAGCCATCACTGCCGTGGCTTTGGGTCCTGTAGGTCAGCCATGCATGCTGCGCTAGGGCTCCGAATCCCGTACAT